GGAAGGCAGGGAGAGTTAAGGCTGAGGACTAGAAAATGCTCGGGGGGTGGGTTGTGCTTTTCCTTTTTTTATCGTCTTTGAAGATGACCACCCTAAGTAAAATTGTTGATTCATCTAAGATGTACTTCTTCTGACATTAACAGGAAAAATAAAAATTTTGATGCTAAGAAAATAATTTGTAAATGGAAGATTATTAGGGAGGGTTTCGCGTTCCAGCGAAAGAGGAAGGGGGAGAGAAGAGAGAGAAACATTGATTTATTGTTCCACTTATTTATGCATTCATTGGTTGATTCTTGCATGTGCTCTGACCAGGATAGAACCAGTAACCTTGGCTTATGGGGAGGACACACTAACCAATTGAGCTACCTGGGTAGGGCCTCATATACATTATGTGATTTCATTTTCACTATAATTCTGTGAGGTGGTTGTTCTCTCATGTTATGGCTGATTAATGTTAAATCTGCAGCCTCTATAATGTTCTGTGACTTGCCCAAGGTCACAGAGTTCAATAGGTAGGAAAGAGAGTAAACCATACTTCAAGCCCAGTGCTCTTTCCATTATCTCACACCTATTGCAGTTACACATCATACCACCACCAGCACCTTGTGATTTACTGAAATTTAAATATTGGAGAAAATAATGAAAATATTTCCCAATCAGAGCAAGCTGATTCTTAAGGAACTGTAGTTTCTAGAATTATAAACAATGTCATACTGAAAGTTGGTGCCATTACTTTGTCTTATGGTATTCTGGATTACTTTGTACCTAGACAGAATGGCAATTTTATGGATCCCGAGAGGTGGGAAAGGATGGTCAGTTCTTAGGCTGAGGTTTTCACTAATTATTACTAAAAGATTTAGTTATTAAAAGGTTTTGACTAATCTTTGCTTATAAGTTTATGAGAAATATGTTGGAGAACAAATTATATAAAGCAGCTTTGGCTGCTGGAACTAACATTGAAGAAATAACTGAAATTCAGATACTTTTCTAGCCAAAGAGTCAACAATCAATCAAGAAAATGTTACCTTTAGTTTTTGCTTTTAGTAAAAATTTTAATCAGTTTCAGACCTGCAGTTTAAGTCTTAGATTTATGTCAGAACATGTCATGAATGTGACATCAGAAATAGAAACCTACTTCACCTCTCTTACTTAAATTCTTTTTAGGTAAAGTACATAACATGCCAATGGAATTGAGTCAGTAAAATTAGTCTAGCCTTTCTAACTAGTAGAAGCCTGTTTCAAATCTCTTACTATGCCATCCTAATGGAAGGAATTTAAAAAATTCTTTATTGATTGATTTTAAAGAGAGGAAGGGAGAGAGAGAGAGAAAGAGAAACATCAATTTATTATTCCACTTATTTATGCATTCCTTGGTTGATTCTCTTTAGTTTCCATTGCCTTAGGAGCTGTATCAGTGAAGATATTGCTTTGGCATGTATCTGAGATTTTGCTCCTGTGGATTCCTCTAATATTTTTATGGTTTCCCTTCTTACGTTTAAGTCCTTTATCCATTTAAAAAAATATATATTTTTATTGATTTTTTACAGAGAGGAAGGGAGAGGGATAGAGAGTTAGAAACATCAACGAGAGAGAAACATCGATCAGCTGCCTCCTGCACACCCCCCACCAGGGATGTGCCCGCAACCAAGGTACATGCCCCTGACCAGAATCGAACCTGGGACCCTTCAGTCCGCAGGCCGACGCTCTATCCATCGAGCCAAACCGGTTTTGGCCTTTATCCATTTTGAGTTTATTTTTGTGTATGGTGTAAGTTGGTGGTCTAGTTTCATTTTTTTGCATGTTTCTGTCCAATTTTCCCAACACCATTTATTGAAGAGACTCTTGACTCCATTGTATGTTTTTGCCTCCTTTGTCAAATAATAATTGAACATAATGGTTTGGGTCGATTTCTGGGTTCTCTATTCTATTCCATTGGTCTATATGTCTGTTCTTGTGCCAGTACCGGGCAGTTTTGAGAACAGTGGCTTTGTAATACAGCTTGATATCTGGTATTGAGATCCCTCCTACTTTGTTCTTCTTTCTCAGGATTGCTGCAGCTATCCGGGGTCTTTTTTTTTATTCCAGATGAGTTTTTGGAGAGTTCATTCTAGGTCTGTGAAATATGCCATTGGTATTTTAATGGGGAGTGCATTAAATCTATAGATTGCTTTGGGTAGTATGGGCATTGGTTGATTCTTGTATGTGCCCTGACCGGGGATTGAACCTGCAACCTCAGCATATTGGGACAACGCTCTAACCAATTGAGCTACCCAGCTAGGGCTGGAAGGAACTTGTTCCTTTTTGTTTTTTGCTATTGGTCGTCTTCATTTTCAAAACAATTCATTCATTCAGTATTTAGAACACAGTAGGCTTTTTGAAAGCCTACTGTGTTCTAAATACTATTGTAGACCAACCCTGTGGATAAAGCATTGAAAACAAAAGAAGTCTTTTCCCTTTGGGAGCTTATAGACTGATTCGGGATGGGGTGAAAGAGGAATCAGACAGTAAGCAAGTAAGGACTTCATAAATAAAATCCTGTCTTATTTATTGTGCAACTTTGAGGGGTAAGTGACATCTTTGAACTTTATTTTTCTCATCTTTAACATGGGGATAATGATTCCTGCTGTACCTAGCTTATGGAATTGTTTCCAGAAGCGAGTAGGGTTGTATTATACCCTTCAAATTCCTGTGTAAGTTACTGTTACTGCTCTCAGAAAAGGAAAAGGAGCATTGAGAGAAGGTTGGTCTAAGAGAGTCTGGTGTCCCATTATAGACCGCTCTGTGACTATTAGTCATGGCTATTTGACTTTTTTAGGGAAGAGATGGTTGAACCTATAGAGCTTTCAGATTCAAGCTTGGTTTGTAATTTAATTTCTCTATTGTGTAAAGCACCAGGTGTTTATTTTGACAATTTGAAAATTCTGACATAGTTACTCAATATATAATGCATTTACTACCTTTGGA